ATGTGAATGGTTAGATTTGGCTGACTGCTCCTCCCAGCAGATGTCAGGGTAGTTTAGGTCCCCCATGACAACCACATCCCAAGACTGTATGGCTTCTGAGAGCTGCCTCAAGAATTCCAAGTCTAGCTCTTCCTCTTGGTGTGGTTGTCTGTAGCAGACCCCCACAACCAACTGCCTTTCCCCTCAACCTCCATGTATCCTAACCGACAATGCCTCAACTTTCTCCTCCTCTGATTCCATTTGGATTAGGGTAGATGTATAATGCTCCTTTACATAGAGCAACACCCCACCCCTTTCCTCCCTACTCTGTTCCTTCTCTACAACCTGTAGCCCTCAATGTGTACCACCCAGTCATGGGTAGGGTCCCACCAGGTTTCCATTAGCCCCACTAAATTGAAGTTATTGTCTGCAAGCCGAAGTGCGAGTTCTTCCTGCTTGTTCTGTATGCTCCTAGCATTAGTATACAGGCACTTGAGCCCCCCAAATGCTGCCTTTGGTGCCCCCCCATTCTGATGCCCAATGGGCCCCTTAGTACTTAAGTGGGGTGTGTACTGCTGCATGTCTCATAAATTGTAGGTCCTAGATTCTCTCCATCTCCCGCCTCCCCGTCCCCTATTGAACTTAGTTTAAGGCCCGACATAGGAGGTCAGCCAACCTTTAAGAAAAGAGACTCTTACCTCTTGCGGAGAGATTTGCTGGACAACAATAGAATACGGTGCATAGGATTCCTGAGTTGTCTCAGGCTCTGAGAACATAGTGTAATTTGGCAGGGGTTTTTTTGAAAGAATGTGTAGGCAAATGTAGGGACTCTCCTCTGCCATATGAGATGCTTGAGTTCTTTTTCGAGCTTTGCCAGAAGGGATGATAAATGAGAATGACATTAGTCTCAAAGAAAGACAAACATGAAGTCTTGGAGTGGTGAGCATTGTGGATTGTCTAAAAATACTAGCAGTGGTGAGAGAGGTAAGATTTGAATTCATGTACATCAGGGCTATCCAGCTTCCCTGTGGCCAGAGCCACACCTCACACCAACCATATCTTGCAGGTGGGGGTGCTTGGGATTCGCCCTGCCCCCTCAACCACATGAGCTGTACAGGCATATGCAGCCTCCTTCTCCCTTGGCAACACTGCCCCCTGCCCGACCCTCTGCACAGACAGCACCAGTGATGCAAAACTTAGCACGGATCTTTGAAAACTCTTGGCGCTCTGGTGTAGTGCCCGAAGACTGGAAGAAGGCCAATGTGGTGCCTATCTTCAAGAAAGGGAGGAAAGTGGATCCGGCTAACTATAGGCCCATCAGCCTGACTTCTATCCCAGGGAAGATCTTAGAAAAGTTTATTAAAGAGGCCATCCTTAATGGACTGGCCGACGCCAACATCTTAAGGGATAGCCAGCACGGGTTTGTTGCGGGTAGGTCTTGCTTGACCAATCTCATTTCCTTCTACGACCAGGTGACCTATCACCTGGACAAGGGAGAAGAGATTGATGTCATATATCTTGACTTCAAAAAAGCCTTCGATCTGGTGTCCCATGATCGCCTCTTGGAGAAACTGGCCAATTGTCGCCTTGGGTCCTCCACGATCCGCTGGCTGGAAAATTGGCTCCGGGGTCGGACCCAGAGGGTAGTAATCGATGGAAGTCACTCATCGTGGTGTCCTGTGACCAGTGGGGTCCCCCAAGGCTCTGTCCTTGGACCCATACTGTTCAACATCTTCATTAATGATGTGGACACTGGAGTCAGAAGCGATCAGAACTGGCCAAGTTCGCCGATGACACCAAACTTTGGGGCAAAGCATCCACACCAGAAGACAGGCAGGTTATCCAGGCTGACCTGGACAGGCTCAGCAAGTGGGCGGACGAGAATCTGATGGTCATCCTTGACCACAAGATGAACATGAGCCTGCAGTGCGATGCTGCAGCTAGTAAAGCGACCAAAACTCTGGCTTGCATCCATAGATGCTTCTCAAGCAAATCCCGGGACGTCATTCTCCCCCTGTACTCGGCTTTAGTGAGGCCGCAGCTGGAGTACTGTGTCCAGTTTTGGGCTCCACAATTCAAAAAGGATGTGGAGAAGCTTGAGAGAGTCCAGAGAAGAGCCACGCGCATGATCAGAGGTCAGGGAAGCAGACCCTACAATGACAGGCTGAGAGCCCTGGGGCTCTTTAGCCTGAAAAAGCGCAGGCTCAGGGGTGATCTGATGGCCACCTACAAGTTTATCAAGGGTGACCACCAGCATCTGGGGGAACGTTTGTTCACCAGAGCGCCCCAAGGGATGACGAGGTCGAATGGTCACAAACTACTTCAAGATCGTTTCAGGCTGGACATAAGGAAGAACTTCTTTACTGTCCGAGCCCCCAAGGTCTGGAACAGCCTGCCACCGGAGGTGGTTCAAGCGCCTTCATTGAACACCTTCAAGATGAAACTGGATGCTTATCTTGCTGGGATCCTATGACCCCAGCTGACTTCCTGCCCCTGGGGGAGGGGGCTGGACTCGATGATCTTCCGAGGTCCCTTCCAGCCCTGATGTCTATGAAATCTATGAAATCTCTGAAAACTGCCTCCTCGCCACAGATCTTCCCCTGCTGAGTCGGTGGCCGAGAGGTGGCTGCAGGGGCCTACAACACATTCCAGTGAAGTTTGCTTGCTTCTTGGCCAGAGATTATTTTATGAATCTTTCACATTGCTGAACCTGGATTAGGGAAGAATCAGGATTTTGGCTGCTTCATGGGTCATGAAGGGGAAATGGTCCTTGACTTTAAGGGCTGCCCCAAAGGACCAGTAGATTAGTCTACTGCACAGTAAAACCTCTCACATAGACACACCCGCTTCTGGGTTACATGGAGGCTTATATCAGTGACCCAAGAGAATGGTGGGGGAAACCCTCTGAAAAGGAGGATCCTGGAAGTGTGGAGCCCTCCAAATCAAGTCTTTTAAATTCATTATTTACTGCCAGGATTGCCTTTTTGCTTTACATATAGTATTGGCTTTTAAAAGGTATGGTTTTGCCAACCATCACATTCACAAATGATGAGTCAGGCATCATAAATATCCAAAGATTTCTCAAAATACTCAATGTTGGATTATTGTAGTGGCATGTGTTGAACTCTAAGAAAAAGGAATGTGTAGGGCTACAAACGTCAAAGCAGGTGTAGAGGGAGGGAATGGTGCCTGAAGAAATGCCAGAGAGAGGAAAGGAGGGTCAGGATAGCCACAAATAATCAACAAGAAAAGGTGAAGGAACTGGAGGGAAATGATAGGAGGCGGGTGTCACGCAATAGATTAAGTAAGAGACTTGAGGGGTGAAGAAGCTGGGAATGATCTTATTAGATCTGCTTTGAGTTTTGGGGTTTTCCATCTGAACCCTATTAATGCAGCATCTCTCAGCTAATTTCAGTCTGCTCCTTTGCAGTGAGGAGAAAACTGGACCTATAGGCTGGGCTCCAACATGGTCTAATATTGGGTTCTGTGTTGGAGTTTCTCTCTCAGTCACAAGCATATTTACTTTACTGCAAGGGTGAGCAAAGTACAGCAAAGGGGCCATATCCAGCCTGCCAGGTGATTTCCCCCCCCATCTGGCCAGCAGGTTGGTGCCCACTAATTAATTGTATCTGGCTCGCAGTTGCCCCTGCTGTGCTCTGCATGGAGCAGAGCCCCACCCGCTTCTGTTGGGGCAGTGTAATGTGCTCCCAACCTTCCTGTGGGAGGGCCCCGGCCCCAGCCCCAGCCCCAGCCCCAGCTAAGGCACACAGCTTCCAGGTCAGGCTGCTGCTGCTGCAGCCACCCAGGAAATTGCTCAGCTCCTCTGTCCTTCAGCAACTTCTCCTCCTCTCCCTGCTGCAACCCTACCTGCTGCCTGGTGTGAAGCAGTAGCAGAGCTGGGAGGAAAGCTGAACCTGGGTAGGAGCACAGGACCAGTGCCAGGGCTGGCAGAGCCTGGGCCAGTGGCAGTGTGGGACTCCCCTTGGCTCATGTGAAGCTCCAAGGACTTGGCCACAAATGCATACCACTGTGGGGGAGACCAGCACAATGGACCCCATAGCCTGGCCCCACTTCCTTCTGCCATGTGCAGATCCCAGACTTGGCCAGAAGTAGCGGGGAGCCCCATTTGATGGAGCCCAGCCAACTCAGCCCCGCTCCCTGCTGCCCTGGCTAAGTCCTGGGAGCTGCATGTGCAGTACGGAGTGGGGCCAGGCTGCCAGCTCCACCATGTGGGGCTCTCCCTGGCGGCACAAGGCTCCAGCCAAGTCCTGGGAGCTGCACATGAGCTTCAGAGAGCCTCGTGCCTGGCCCTGCTCCCTGCCGCCATGTGCGGTTCCCAGGATTCAGCCAGAGTAGTGCACCACTTGAGGGCTCTGCCTGCCGCGGGCCATGAGTGCCCTGAAGACCTGTTGCTGCCAGCAGCAGGGGCTGTTTGCCATGGGGGGCAGCATGTGGGGGGGCACCCCCCACACCCCCCCATCCCCTACACACCCTAACCGTACCCCCGTCACACAATATACAAGAGTAAGACTTTATTCTGATCTGTTACACAATCACCTCTATATACACTGTGAAAACACATAAATCAGGACAGCATTTTTTTCAAATAAAAATAAAATATGTTATAATATATAGATGCTTGATTTTTAGTACACAGTTTGTTTTTTTTCTGGTTCAAAGATGACAAGCTCCGCTCCCAAAAGGAGTACTTCCAGGAGCAAGGGGAGGGGCTTTTCATGGTCATGGGTTAAGGGCAGGACTTCGAATCCCAAAATTGCAACCAAAGAGTGGGGCTGTCCTTGCGGGCCCTTGCCAGCTCGCTAAAACTCATTAAGTGGCCCTCCAGCCAAAATAATTACCCACCCCGCTTTATTTACCTTTGAGAACTGGGCTTTTTTTAAAGAGGCCTTTTTTATTACACCTATATGTTCAATAAAGTGACTAAGAACTGTTTAAAGTCTTTATTTATGTGTCTGTTACCTAGAACAGCCCTGGTAATCCCCTGCATTTGTCTCACACAGTGAATGGATATCACACCCCCCTGACCCCAGCACATCAACTGGAGCCTGGTCATATGAGCCTCAGAAAAATCGGCAGAGACCCCCAGGTAGGTTTTATGGAACACTCCAAGCAGAAAAGCATAAGAATAGAGTAACATCCCTTAAATTTGAGCCATCTGGTATCATCTACTAGGTGTTTTGTTTAAGAAGCCACCAGAGTCCTAGTTGGAGCCACTGTGTGTCTGTAGCTGGGCACAGAGTGTTTGTTTCTAGTTAGCAAACAAGGTTATTTGGAATCCCGTTGTGTCTATGGAATGTCTTCCTCTTGCTTAGTTGTGAAAAACAGCAACAGATAAAACAATAGGCTTTTTAATCTCTGAACAAAATTAAAACAATATGGCTGATGGGAATGTACATCTCATGTGGACTGTGGTTAAAAAAAAATACAAAATGGAAATGGAATGAAATGGCTTTCGCTCCTCCTCCTAATACAGCCCTCTCCTAATACATACCATATTTTGAATCGCATAATTATGAAGATGACGTTTAAAAATAATTTTTTAATTAGTTTTGTTATTGCTATAACATTAAAACCTAAAACCTTTTAGACTCAGCAAATGTGAACCCCAATCCCGGAAGGGTGCATATACTTAATTTTAAATCTAGACTACTAATGCAATTTCTTTTAAAATTTGAGTCCAACAGAAATCCGTGAAGGACATATTTTTTTTTAAATAAAGGCTGAAGAAAGCAAAGAAACACCCTTAACTCTAACCTTCCATTATCTACTTACTTACCTATTTTTTAACCATTAACTCATCTTTACTTGGAACAGTTTATGTAATAATCTATCACCAATTCCTCATCAAGAGCTTTCTGAAAATCCAGAATGTACAAAATCATTGGTTTCTACATCTATACCAATATTTACTTTGTTATAAATAAAGTAATAAAATGTCTGAAACAACCCTTATAAGCCCTGAGAAGTTACATGTAAAATAGCTTCCTTTCCATATGTAGTTTTAAGTTGTCCATAGATGTCTGCAGATAATCATATTGCAAAAATATTGAGGTAAAATATATTTTTATTGGAATTCTGCTAATCCCTACAACAATATTATCTTTTTGGTAAAAGCACTCTATACCTTTTAAAAATGCAAACAACAGCATATCTGGAAACAATTTTTTAAATGGTGGTACCAGTCAAATAATCAAGAAGTAATTAGTGATGATTTCTACTGTTCATTCAGTCTAAACACTGCCTCCATATAAAGATAAGAATTGTCTGGAAAATCAGACCAAATTGGACCAAACTCAGGCCATGCAATACCCTTTTTCTGGCAGTGATCTGGACCAGCTGCTTCAGAGGAAGGGGTGAAACCCTAGAAAAGGAGGCTGAGGAATAACCTGTCCTCTTGAGACATTTCTTCTAGTTCTCATTACATTAGCCTAAGCTTGTCTAAAGTATTGAAGCAGGAAGTGTTAACTCTGAAACTTGTTTCTACCACTTAAGTCTTACTTATATAATTTGGCATCCTTGCTGGTTTATTTGGTGCAGTGATACTCTACCTTTTTAAACTTAAGGCATTCCTTAGAAAATGTCAGCTCTTAGTTGTCACTCATTTTTGAGTGCAGAAAAAACTAGAGAAATTCTTCCGTTTCAAAGAATTCAGGAAGGCCCCAACAAGTCAGAATGTTTTTAATGCTGTGGATTCCTATTTGAAGTCTCTAGGGTTATCCCATGGCTCGTATTTGCCCACCTATCTGTGCTAACATTGCATAGCACCCTTAAAGGGATCCCATGGCAACCTTGTTGAGAATCAATAATCTAATGGAAATATGTTGTTGATATGTGCTGACACGATGTTGTAGCTGTTATGGTCCAGGAAATATGCAAGAAGTGAAGGTGTGTGTGTGTGGGTGTCGTTTTCTTTCTTTCTTTCTTTTTTGTTATTGGATCAAG